GATTATCAAGGATTCTCTCTGAAACAGTTTGGAGCTCAAATGCTTTCTCTCTTGCCGGTTATACCACAAGGTGAGTTCCTTTTTACTTCCTGCTTCTTCACACACATGCTCTCCAGTACAGGTTAGCTCTGAGTGTTAGCGATGCTAATGTAAACACCGACCATATTACGTCCAAAACAGTCGGGCATTGTTTCTGATAGCAACGTTTCTGATTGGGCCGTGGGTCCACATTTCAGATATTACGTCATATCGGACGCAAATCTGGATCAGCTCCGTTGTTCCCCCGTTTTTAGAGATTTGGGTACGGAGGAAAAGAGAGAGGGTTTTGTTTCCTGACGCTGCGTGAGTTCTCTGACACACCGGGGACACATATTTATGTATAAAAGCATGATAGGTCCCCTTTAAATGTTATTTATTTATTTTATCTATAACCATGACAACTATTGTTACTCTCTAACCCTTTTGCCCTCCCCGAGGTTCAAAGACAATGTTCCCCTTTAATTGTTGAATTTCTTTGTGAGTTTTTCCCGCGATGGTCTACGGACAGTTAAACGCCCCCCTGAGACAAATGTGTAATTTCTGATATCAGGCTATATAAATAAAATGTGATTGTCCTGATTACGTAATCCCTCTATATGTTCTCCCCTTGAGATGTGGAGTGTTGGCGAGAGAGAAAGAGGGGAGGGGGGTTTTAAGGAATGAAAGCAGACTTCCTCCTGGCCCTTTTGGCTCGGCGCTGTATTTCCTGTCCAACAACAGCAGAGTGGGATGGTTGGCTGATTCCAATAATAAATAGAGAGGTTTTTAAACTGATGTCACATCGCCCTGCTTGTGTCACCTGAGCAGAAACGCAGCAATCAGGCTGTTTAGTTTTGATCCCAGAGCACCGAGCATATAGGTGACGGAGAGAAAGGTTTCGAGTGTTACTGATCCAGGTGTTTGGAAAGACTCTGCAGAGATCTATGGGTGCTGCTACATCATTAAGCAAAAAATGGAGAAGCTCTGTTACACTAACCTGCTCCCTGTAACCCCCCAAATATAGCTTGTGAAAATGTTTAGCCTGGCTGAGGGAAACAATGCTGTAAAAAGTGTTTTATTGGAGCTCAGAAGAGACGATCTATCAGGCTTGTGTTCTGCACGACGCTAACATGTGCAGGACATCGATCCCAGGGCTGTGTTGGAGTTCAATATAAAGTCTGAAAACAGTTTTGTAGCTTTGTGCCTTTTGTTTCATTTCATGCAAGCTGAAAAAATAAATGTAAAAGTTGATAGCAGTATAAAGTTGTGCAGGGATGGTTCATTGTTGCAGGCCACCATGAAGGCCTCATCTCCCTGGTTTCCTCCACAAGAAGACAATGGGATTCCTCCATGTGATTCAAACATTTATGATACTTACATGTTTAGTTCAGCAGGATAATCTCCACATATTAAAACCAATTTATGATTTCTGAAGTAAAAAGCTAACGTTATATAGAGGAACTACAGCACGGTCACATGACTTCACGTCACCACCGCTAAGCTAAAGGTGGCTAATGCTGGGCTATAAAGGAACTACAGTACGGTCACATGACTTCACGTCACCACCGCTAAGATAAACGTGGCTAATGTTGGGCTATAAAGGAACTACAGCACGGTCACATGACTTCACGTCACTACTGCTAAGCTAAAGGTGGCTAATGTTGGGCTATAAAGGAACTACATCACGGTCACATGACTTCACGTCACCACCGCTAAGATAAACGTGGCTAATGTTGGGCTATAAAGGAACTACAGCACGGTCACATGACTTCACGTCACCACTGCTAAGCTAAAGGTGGCTAATGTTGGGCTATAAAGGAACTACATCACGGTCACATGACTTCACGTCACCACCGCTAAGCTAAAGGTGGCTAATGTTGGGCTAATAAGGAACTACAGCACGGTCACATGACTTCACGTCACCACCGCTAAGCTAAGGGTGGCTAATGTGGGGCGTGATGACGTTTAGTCCTCTCATTTAGACACTTGTTAGCAACCACCGTTTTTAAATTCACCAGTGGGGTATTTACTGATGTATTTTTATGTCGTTGAATAAAAATCTCTTCAGCTTGAGTTAACCACAGACCTTATTTCAGGGTAACAACCACAAACACATAAGAAAAAAACAATGTCTTCCAGACCAGGGAACCTAAACGGCTAAAATGCTAACTAATATCTGCTTTTAGGACTCATTCCTGCACCACTCTTCACCAGGGATCGGGGAAACAGCCAATCATAGCTCAGCAAGCATAGATAATCACCAGTATTTTGTACATCTATGGGATGTTTTGCCGATGAGTGTATACCCTGAGTGACAGCAGTGTGTTTGCTCAGGGCCTCTCTACTCCCTGAGGTGCTGCAAGACAGAAGGAGCACCTCTTTTGTTTCCACACACACACACACACACACACACACAACACACACAACACACACACACAACACACACACACAACACACACACACACACACACACACACACACACACACACACACACACACACACAACACCACACAACACAACACACACACACACACCACACACACACACACACCACACACACACACACACACCCACACACACACACACACACCCACACACACCCACACACACACACACACACACACACACACACACACACACATCCTCTGCCGCTCGGTCTCAAACCTGACATATGTGCTCCCACCTGTGTGTTGTTATTGTGGAGCCGCTGCAGTGTGATGTAGGAATGCATGGGAGCGATTAGCGAGTTGTTTCCACTGCTCTGTTCACCTCCGCTCTGGTTGTTGTGTTTGTCTTGTCAGGGATCCACGGAGGAACCCAAACAGCTCAGGAGCTGCACGGGTCACTCCACTGACCCTGAAACAACCCGCTGCTTTTCCGCACAACTTTTTAACGAATTCCTTTAAAGTGTGGAACAGACGGGGGAGGACGTACATCCATAAAAGTAGCTATAGCTTAATGAATACGTATGGAGAGCACATTAAGTATTATCAGCCACAATAGCTCCTCCAAGGGTCACAAAAGAGTGGTGAAGGGAAGAAGTATTTGTGTAGGCCAACCCTGACGTTAGCATCGCAAAGTCTCCCGAGACAATAGGATTTCTCCATTGGATTTTGGATTATTGCAGAAAACTAAAAATATTTTGTTAATACACTTATCTTTAACATAGGAGCCACAAGTAAAGTCTAAAGCAGTGGTTCTCAACTGGTCAGGCCTCGGGACCCACTTTTTCCTTTGTCAATAAATCGTGACCCGAAATGTTGAACCACTCAAATCTAATCAACAAAAATTCGTGCTGTAATATACGCTTTGCAGCTTATAATATTAATTAAAGCGAAGTACAGTGCATATATCCCTTATATCCCTTCACAGAACTAAAGTATGCTTTTAAATAAGGTTTAATGAGATGATGGAATCAAAGCTGAACTGTACAACATAAAAAGGCCCACATGCTGAAAACCCAACCCCAGCAGGGGGTCTGGGGGGGATTCTCCTCCAGCAGATTTTTAGAAATACTAATATAAACTACGCATTCTGGTACACTCTGAGAAGAAAATAAATAAATGTATCACTACCCGACATATTAATAATATATTATGCCATTGTTTGTTTTTCACTTTGTTCTGACATCTTGCTGCTCCTCACAGAGAGAAGAGCAAAGAGGAGAGAGTCTGTGTGACTTACTTTAAATTGTGGGTAAGGGTAGATAGCCCCCATTGTTCTGTGACCTGTCAATCATCAAACCGGGGGTCATATTTCATTATGTGTTCATTTTGATCTGAAGTTGTACCCATGGATGTATAAAGAATAGTTCTACCGCAAAGTTATTCTCCGTGGGGACTTCCGGCTGCAATCTTGATTCTGATTGGCCAGAAGACTCGAAAAAACATCAGCAAAGATGTTTTATTGAGAAGATGATCACTACGTGACAGAAGTTTTCAAAACCGTTTATGGTCTCCGGTACTTCCAGTCCAACGCCCACTGCATGCACAGCGTTAGAAAATTGGGCCTTCAAAATAAAAGTTTCCAACAAAAAAGAATTTTTTTTTTTCAATTTTGTTTTCTTCACTCACACATCTGCGACCCACTCGAAACGGCTCTGCGACCCACTCGAAACGGGTCTGCGACCCACTCGAAACGGCTCTGCGACCCACTTTTGGGTCGCGACCCACCAGTTGAACGGGAGCGTTGTTGGTGATTGCTGTAGTTATACCTGACTGCTTTCACCTACACTTTTCTTAGCATTAACACACAGAGAGGGTGAGCCTGAGAGAACTTTATATTTAGGTAACTGGTATCGATTGTATTTTACATGTTTCGCAGAGAATAAATGGCAAAACGCATTCAAGGAGTAGAGCAGATGTTTTAATGCGCCTCACTGTGTTTTTCTTGTGTTTAGCCCCTCGATACTGTAGCCTACCGCTTCTATATTGAACAATATAAATGGTAAATAAAGTAGAGTAGACGTATACAGTATGAAGCAGTATACAATTCAAAATGTTTCTTAAGTATAGTAGGCTACTATATAGCCATCAGGCTGCACAATCAAGGGCTGACCATGTAGCCCGTTAATAGTAACCAGGACTGTGCACACATAATACTTTAACCTGCACTCACATCTGCACACTTATGTAAATATATTTAACATGTTCTTTCAAATGCTGAACGTTTTCCTGTGATATCTTGTTTCAATAGTTACTTTTATTCAATGTTATTTTTTAACTTGTGTGAATCCTGTTTTTCCCTCTGACCCTGACGCCTTCATTTAATAACCAAGGGGATAAATAAATAAAGTTCCATCTTATCTTATCTCTTATCTTGAGTATATATACTAAGTTATTTCCACCACAGGGAACAAAGCATTGGTGTAAAGCATGCGTATTAAACATTACCTCCACCCCTAACGTTAGAGAAAACCCTAATCCTTGTAACACAGCATCGTTATAGCCTTCAACTTTAGGCACTTCCTGTTTCCTGTTACCTTTGCAGGCCCTGCGGTGAGAGATGGATTTGGTCATGTCTCTGTAGTATCCCTCCTTGCAGTAGTGGCAGTGGCGTCCGGCCGTGTTGTGGCGGCAGTTCAGACACACGCCGCCGCTCCTCCGGCCCGACAGCTTGTACAGCTCCATGTTGAAGCGGCAGCGACGAGCGTGAAGGTTACAGTGGCATGCTGGGTAAAAAGAAAGGAGACACTGAGTATGGAGGACATTCTTAAAGGTCCCCTATTATACTGTTTTTCATCACTATATTATAGGTCTCAGATAAATACAACACATGTCTCTGAAGCATACTTGCCAACCTTGAGACCTCAGAAATCGGGAGCATTTCAAAATGCAAAATGGGGGGGGGTGCTAGTGATTCGCCGGAGCTGTTAGATTAACATGTTTATTGTAGTTCTAAGTGCAATGCCTTGCGGCCTGTAGTACCATCCTTGATGGAGCATATGTGTGGGCAGGACAGGAGTGAGCAGAGAGTAGAGTAGTCGTCGATTCTTGTTCTGTTTTCTGTGACTATCTGCCTCACCCTCTCAGACTTTCAGTTGCGAGCGCTACTAAAGAGACATGTTACCATGGAAACCAAACAATGGTGTAGCTGTATTAAAGTCCGAGTGGAAACAGTCCTGAGTAAATCTGATTTTGTCAGATATCGGGAGAAATGCGGGAGAAATATCACCCCGGGAGGAAACCGGGAGAGGGCAATGAAATCGGGAGTCTCCCGCGAAAATCGGGAGGGTTGACAAGTAGGCCTATGCTCTGAAGTGTTTGGCTCCAAACACCAAACAGGTCATTGCAGCATTACCCATAATCCCCTCTGTTTCAGCCCTGTTTCCAAAGTGTGATTCTCTGTCTGTTACTTCAGATGAAAATAAGGAGCCCCTCCCCACGCCCCTCTGAGAGACATTTGGTTACAAAGAACTCAATGGTGCTCTAGAGGAGATTCAGGTGATAAGGGGGGGGGGGGGTTACCTTGGTTGCTGACTGGCTAATGGTTACACAAGACAACACATCGTTATGACATCATAAAGTGGCCAAAATCTGATCAGCTCATTTTCAGACAGGTTTTTATAGAAATTGATCAAAAAGAGAGAGAATCTTTGTTCCTGAAACTTTCAGAGTCTCTTTACACAGAGGGGACACATGTTGATGTAGAAGAGACATGAAGAAGAGGGGACACATGTTGATGTAGAAGAGACATGAAGAAGAGAGGACACATGTTGATGTAGAAGAGACATGAAGAAGAGGGGACACATGTTGATGTAGAAGAGACATGAAGAAGAGGGGACACATGTTGATGTAGAAGAGACATGAAGAAGAGGGGACACATGTTGATGTAGAAGAGACATGAAGAAGAGGGGACACATGTTGATGTAGAAGAGACAGGAAGAAGAGGGGACACATGTTGATGTAGAAGAGACATGAAGAAGAGGGGACACATGTTGATGTAGAAGAGACATGAGGAAGAGGGGACACATGTTGATGTAGAAGAGACATGAAGAAGAGGGGACACATGTTGATGTAGAAGAGACATGAAGAAGAGGGGACACATGTTGATGTAGAAGAGACATGAAGAAGAGGGGACACATGTTGATGTAGAAGAGACATGAAGAAGAGGGGACACATGTTGATGTAGAAGAGACAGGAAGAAGAGGGGACACATGTTGATGTAGAAGAGACATGAAGAAGAGGGGACACATGTTGATGTAGAAGAGACATGAAGAAGCGGGGACACATGTTGATGTAGAAGAGACACGAAGAAGAGGGGACACATGTTGATGTAGAAGAGACATGAAGAAGAGGGGACACATGTTGATGTAGAAGAGACATGAAGAAGAGGGGACACATGTTGATGTAGAAGAGACATGAAGAAGAGGGGACACATGTTGATGTAGAAGAGACATGAAGAAGAGGGGACACATGTTGATGTAGAAGAGACATGGAGAAGAGGGGACACATGTTGATGTAGAAGAGACATGAAGAAGAGGGGACACATGTTGATGTAGAAGAGACATGAAGAAGAGGGGACACATGTTGATGTAGAAGAGACATGAGGAAGTGGATTTTGCATAATAGGTGACCTTTAATTAATTGATATCCTTTTCTGTTTCCATCTTCCAAAACATATAAGCCGGTCAAGATTTCAATGTCCCGACAAATGGTCAAACGTTTTTTAGGCTTATCTTGTACACTACTCTCCCAAGGGTTGACCGAACATACACCAAGCGTTGAAGAACACACACACACACACACACACACACACACACACACACACACACACACACACACACACACACACACACACACACACACACACACACACACACACACACACCCCCCCTCCCTTTCCCTCTCACTCGTTACTGCTTTCTTATCCCAGATGTTATCTCCACTTAAGGGAAGTGTGAGGGGAAAATGCAAAGGGTCTTTTTTTATGAATAGAAAGTGGAATGCTTTTAGTTTTCGGTGCTAGAGAAAACCGATGCTGGTACTGTTCTTTCATCTTAAACAATATCAGACACAGATTATTGTAACACTAGCCGTCACTTCAAAGGACAACATTTAAAGAAACAGCCAGAGACAAAGATAAACTTATCTCCTTCTTATATTTCCTTCTTCCAAAACATATAAGCCGGTCGAGATTTCAATGTCCCGACAAATGGGATAAACTCAGGTCAAATGTTTTCAGCGTATATTTGTAGTGTTCATTAGGAAGGCTATGTAAAGAACGATATCCCAAAGTCCCGTCAATAGTCTTGTGCGCAACACAAAAAGTAAAATAAATAAACATAATGTTGTTGTTGAGAAACTGAGAAAGTATTCAAGGACAAAGTCTTTCTTTAGTTATATTCAATAAAGTAATAAAGAAAGTCAATATGGATCTGAAATGCAGGAACAGAGCTACTTCCTTCTCAGAGGATAAAGAAGTTCTGCTTACAGTCTCTCTATTCATGAGAGGAAACAACTGGTCCTCCATCCCACCATTAAACCATTAAACCCTCGTCCTTAACATTTGCAAATCCACCTTTTACACTTCCTTTTGCCTTCTTGAAATGTAAATCCTTAAAATATGTCTCTGTTAAACACATACAGGAATATACATACATAGATACAATGTAACAGAGTAAAAGACAATCAGAGTATAAGACTATATGTTTAATTATTATATGATCGTTTGACACGACACTGAGAAATGCTGCCATGACATTTTGCAGAACGGCCAGTCAGTAGTAGTATTCGTTTATTCGTCCCCGAGGGGAAAATGGGTTGCAGCACATCACAGAGGCATTTAAAAAGTTAAGACAATACGTCACTAACAACAACATAGACACAGATACAAACAAACAGACATAAGAAAACCAGATATCGGCTGACATGACAAGCGGCTTATAGGCCCTCATTTGCGAAATAGGGGGGACAGGGCCAGACCAGCTGGGTAAACAGGGCGTCCGAGCCATCATTGATTCAGGAGTTTGATGGCTTGTGGGACGAAAGACAGCCTAGATCTGTTCTTTTTTAAATAAGGGGCACGATATCTCCGCCCGGATGGCAACAGTTCAAAGTAAGAGGCAAGAGGGTGCCTCAGTTCACTTACAATATTGTATGCCAATTTTAAAACTCTGTCCTTGTATAAGCATTCTATATTAGCCAATGAGATTCCTGTCAATTTACTGGACACTGTTATAGCCCTCCTGACTGACTTTTTCTGTGCCTCAGTTGCGTTTCCGAACCAGCATATAATGCCGAAGGAGAGCACACTTTCGATAAAAGCACGATAAAACATCTTCACCATTCTGTTGCCGACATTAAAAGACAATAATCTACGTAAAAAAAACATTCTTTATTGAGACTTAGCATTTATTTTCTCAGACCAAACTTAGCTTAGCTTAGTCATAAAGCCTGTAAGAGAAATAATACCTTCACATTTAAATGATCCCGTGTGGCTTTATGTGAAAACAATGATACTCCAGTTTTGCTGTTGTCCATGTTTTCCCTCCAGTTGCATGGTAACATGGCCGCCTGTCAAAGTCATGAAACTTAATGCAAGCTGCAAAACAAAACGTCTGTTTTCCTTAGCTCCTGAAACGCTGACGTTTTGGAAACTCGTTCTATGAAAGCGATGAACTGAACCCACACTGTGTGCAGACCTTCCAGTTTCATATTTAATTACCTCATTTCTCCCGGGATAAATAAAGTATTCTGATTGTGGTTCTGAGAAAAAGCTTTTATCTTTTTATTTTCAATTTGACTGATTCAATATCAATACATTTACAAGGTACAAGAAATGAGTTAAAGCTGGAGGGCAGAAAACATAACCCTCCCTCCTGTGAGTAATGTAATGGCGCAATAACTGCAAACTTTATATTTACAAACGTTCAAAGCGTACATAAATAAAATAACCTTATTATTAAAGCGATATTCTGCTGATGTTCAGGTGTATATCATAGTGTCTCTACTTTAAAGAGTCCTCTCCTGCTGATGTTCAGGTGTATATCAGTATGTAGTGTCTCTACTTTAAAGAGTCCTCTCCTGCTGATGTTCAGGTGTATATCAGTATGTAGTGTCTCTACTTTAAAGAGTCCTCTCCTGCTGATGTTCAGGTGTATATCAGTATGTAGTGTCTCTACTTTAAAGAGTCCTCTCCTGCTGATGTTCAGGTGTATATCAGTATGTAGTGTCTCTACTTTAAAGAGTCCTCTCCTGCTGATGTTCAGGTGTATATCAGTATGTAGTGTCTCTACTTTAAAGAGTCCTCTCCTGCTGATGTTCAGGTGTATATCAGTATGTAGTGTCTCTACTTTAAAGAGTCCTCTCCTGCTGATGTTCAGGTGTATATCAGTATGTAGTGTCTCTACTTTAAAGAGTCCTCTCCTGCTGATGTGCAGGTGTATATCAGTATGTAGTGTCTCTACTTTAAAGAGTCCTCTCCTGCTGATGTTCAGGTGTATATCAGTATGTAGTGTCTCTACTTTAAAGAGTCCTCTCCTGCTGATGTTCAGGTGTATATCAGTATGTAGTGTCTCTACTTTAAAGAGTCCTCTCCTGCTGATGTTCAGGTGTATATCAGTAGGTAGTGTCTCTACTTTAAAGAGTCCTCTCCTGCTGATGTTCAGGTGTATATCAGTATTTAGTGTCTCTACTTTAAAGAGTCCTCTCCTGCTGATGTTCAGGTGTA